ATCAGCCAAAAATTCTTTTTAGTAATTGCAGTCAAGCAGAAGAATGCTTATAGGGCATCTATCAAATGGATAGTCCCTCGCTGTAAGGGCTCAGAGGCATTTCATCACTGCTCCCTCTCGCTGGGCATTCGAACGGAGGAGTAGGATGAATAAGGAAGAAGGAAAGAAAAGGAAGGAACACCAAAAAAGAAGGAAGGAGGAGTGAGGCCATTCAGTTGATAGATATCCTGGGACGCAACGTAAAAGCCGTTTTCATGATTTTACACAAATATCCATGCCAGTTACTGGAGTACTACTTCGATATCAGAACCTAAGCCCAATTACATAGACAGGCGTGAAAAGGGAATAGCTCAAAGCTAGAGGAATTCCACTATCAAGAATGATCGCGAGTTCGAGAAACTTTAAGAGCTACACAAGAAAACAGTAGTTTCGTTTTCTTTGCCGAAAACTCATTGATTCGGTGCAATACTGGGCTCACATATGTTTAACATGTGTGACATAAGGAGAAAAACGATTGAATGTTGGAAAATGTCACACAGTTTCACAGGCTGTATTACATTAGTAGTAATCAGTCACTGGTGACAAATCGAGGGATATCGATTGAATTGAGCTGGACTGCACGAACCCTGGACGCGCCAGCACCATGTGGAAAATTTGTCCTTTAGCATAATCTCCTTGTTTTTGGCACGTGTTTCTCCTCAGACAATCGCCCAGCGAACGTTTTGGCACTCTGCCAAATTACGCAGTCAATGAGCTAGAGAAGGTAGTGGCAACCAATGGCCAAAGAACGGAGATAAGTAGCAAGCCTTGCGGCTGGATGTGTTGCTGGACGTGCGGCGTGTGGCGTACTCTGCTTGTGGGCGGTGACCCAAGTAACATTTAGCTATCACAACTCCCCCCTTTCTTTGTTTCCCAAGTAAAAAAGTGGTAATATACTACAGCTGAGGGCCAACCTACCTCACCATGGCACCATGGGTATACCAGCTTCACAGGTCAGCGTAAAGCAAGAATCTAACAGCGCTCCTTTTTTTGGAAACTCCACAACAATAATCAAAGCTGTACAAACCTCTCTCATTGCCTTATTAAGCATACGCTGGAATGTTTCACTGCGAGCACACATGAACACGAAGCATTCATCTGAACTGGATTGTGACGGTTGTATAGTGACCATATTATTGGTGTCGATGTCGATTTGAGCGAAATGAATATCGCAGTAAAGTAACAGCTTTTGCGGCCGACCATAGACGATCGCCATTCGAGAATCCTGCAATCGGTTGGTGGATGAAAATGATCCTCTGGCATTCGCGTTGCATCATTTTCCAAGGAATCCATCAGAGATGAAATTCAAGGTGGAAAACGTCATTTCCAAGGCTGAAATTTATCTTTAATTTTGACTGGGGACCTACATAACACTGGTAGTTTCCAACGTTACTACGAACGTTGACAATCACAAAGTCAGCTACAAACACTTCCTTTCTTTTCTGTCAAAATCCGAAAAAGTTATACGCAGCTGGTTGTAGGTAAGGCATAGCATCACACAAAGGTTGCTCAACCTTGAGTTGTGGTACCAGATGTTTGATGAGCCTGAGGGATGATGAACCTCGCTTGCGGTCCCCCTTGGTTTGCTCGCTTAGGGTCCAGGACGAATTCGTGTGTAACGGTTAAGTTGTCAGCAAGCCCCGGTACTGTCGTCTTGATCCGTGCGTCCAGAACCAAGGGTCAGGACCTTGCGGGTGGACTTCCTTCATCTTCTCAAGGGGAAAACAGCCTTACAGTAAACACAAGAAGGTCCCGGCGAACTTTTTTATTCAATTCTAAAATTGTTATCGTTTTAGTTTTTTATTCTTTACTTTCCCATCCGCTGTGTGAGCTATGTTCCTTTTTCCCAAGCCAAGTGGCACACCCTTGTGTGTATATAAATAAATAATTAACAATTTAATAAATAAATGAATAATAAAAAAATAAATAAATGAGCAAATAAGCAAATAAATAAATAAATGAATAAATAAATAAATAATCCTGCTCCGAAGCACTCCCGCGCTTATGGTAAGGCAGAAAACCCTTTCGCGAGCAACGGCTTCCTCGCCCGCTTCCAGCACAAACAAATGTGCCGCCATCCCACCAAAAAAAAACGGTGGAATGTCATGCGAACAAAAAGGGTGCCATACCATAGTTTCACAGGGGTATGCAGGACTTCAAAGAATAGCCCGGTACGTTGAAAGGAATTCACGACTACTACCCGCCATAGCGGACCAGCACCGATCTTATAACCTTATTTTCATATTATTCATTGTTACTGTTACAATAAAATAAAATAGTAAAAATTTGAAGCGAAATAAAAGAGAAGAGACAAGAACCCACGTGTAAATGACACCGCACTTCTTTGTACAGAACCGGAGCAAATTCAGGTCGTTGGGGAGCATGATGAAGTTGCATGTAGAAACAAGTGCCTGAAATATTACGATACGGTATATACAGGGGGCCAAAAAAAAGACATTTTTTCCTCTTGACTTTCGAGGCGCTATAAGTTACCTCATTTAAATTTTTATGGGACACTTCCACCACCATATTAAAGAGCATATCAAATACTATCACGATGCTCCGCCACAGCCTTCTGGACGAGCGCCATTGAGAGATTCTGGCCCGCAACCGCGATGTGGTACCTGAGATCAGCGAGATAGTCGATTTCTCCGCCACCGTAGACCACCCTATTGAGCTCCGCCCGGACCGGGTTATTGAGTGGGTTTAGCTCAGGGGACCTGCTTAGATATTCCACCTTTACCAGGTACTCAACGTCCTTCCATTCCGAGTAGGCGAGAGTTTCTCCAACACCCTTCAATTCCATGTGGTGGCACCCAATGCTGTAGCAGTACAAAGTTTCCAAGAAGGTACGGGCGACGACATGTGAGGAGGATATTCTTCTCGAGTTGCTCGATGTAACCGCCAGTGCTCACCTTCAGTCCGTTGCCCGCGAAGAAAATATTGGTCTCTCCATTCCAGGTACGTCCGGTCCCTACCATCAACTGGCGCCTTGGAGACTGTGGTGAAGATGATGTCCTAGACCGTAGCGACGTTGTCGAAGCTGCTCGACGCTGGGGTCTTGCAGATCAAGAGTACTTGTCTCCAGGTAGCTCTCCATGGGTGACTTAATTCAAGAAGTTTCACAGCTGTTTAGAGGTGACGTGAATTCCGAAGGTCTTCACCAGTCAGGTTGCGACTGGAGATGACTTCATATTTTGGTGTACATGAAGGTGATGGGCGAGCGCCAGCTCCTGCTTATAGAGGAACATCTTGGGTATCTTCCGCCCTGGTACTCGTATCCACGTTCTCTGTCTGCGCTGCGAAAACTTCGCTGATATGTGACTCGGTCAGAATGTCTTTTTTTTGGCCCCCCCCCCCTGTATGCAGGTTATGCGCAGCACTGCGTAACTCGGGCGGAAGACCAAGTTAATACGGGCAAGTTGATACGGGCCATTTAGTTGGGTTTCTGTGTTTGTTCTTCCTTTAGAGCAATGAATGATGTTATTGTCTGATTTTTTTTACTCATTAGTCTATTTTAGTTGAAGATATTCTATTCGATTTGTCGGAAGCCTTGAGGAGCTTCTTGATCTATGGGCTCTTCTTTTACTTTCTGGCACGTTTGACCCAAGTTTCAAAAAATAAATAAATGAGTAAAAGTGAATAAGTTTAGAAATATCACAGGCGGATGTGTTTTAGTGAGCGGTGCCTCCACTTATCATTCGCGCAATTCGGGAGTCAGATTTTGTGGCAGGTTCCGTTCCCAGCTAACCAAGCTTTGCACAACCTTCGGCTTTTGTGAATTGCTACCTGACTCGTGAAATGCTGCCTGACTCGTATCACAAGAAAAGCATATGGCCCGAATAGGCCGACCCCACACGTACAGGTCAAGTCGTGTTCCAAATGCTACTACATTTTAGAACCAAGGAGGAATGCGTTTCGCATCCCGAAAGTAATCTAGTACTGAAAGATCAACATTCCTATCTCCTTCAGCAACGTCAAAAATATGCTCCGGCATGGTGTGCTTCTGTTGGTAGCATCTCGAAAACAATGAGAAAACTAGAGTAGCCCTTATTCCTACATATCAGGTTACGTCGTGCGTTGGGGATCCCCGACGAGCGGAAGATGTCTGGTCCTGTAGGGGAGGGTAGGTAGTGGACAAGAAAGTTTTAAGAGGGGCCGTATTCAGCAAGAACTTTCCACAGCGCCAGGACGAGTCTCTGTGAATCTCTGTGAAGCGCAGCACTTGTCAAGAACTGTGAAAGGATCAGGGTTGACTGGACTAAGTGCACCTCATTTCTGCAGAGTTTACAGCTGGGTAGGGGGATGGGCTGCTACTTGCTCTCCTAAAAGCAGAAAAATACAACAAAGGCGAATTCAGAGAGCAGTAGGCAATAAAAATTATTAACTGGAAGAAAAATTAAGAAAAACCAAAAATCATTAATCACAATACCCTTCACTTGGAGACACGTTAGTTGTCACCACTACACCTTGTAGTTTTCGGAGTCAAGTAGATCATAAGAACAACGAATATAATTAGTAGGCACCTACTTGTTCCACATGTTGATCGCAACCACGTTTCCCAAACCACAAGGCTTTCGGGAAGAAGGAATGAAATAACGACAATATCCTCTAAAGTTAGTAAAGCAAGTGTGTGTTGACTTTTTTTCAGCTCGAACCCTGAAATCATGGAATTCTTTGTAATGACTCGAATTTACTTTATTAACAAAATCCAGGTTATATAAGTGACCTTTTAGAGCAAGGTTCTTCACCTTTTGTGGAGAAACTAGTACGTGAGGAAACCAAATAGAACATACTGAGAGTAACAATAAAAATAATTTGTGAAAAGTGCAATTTTACTTATTACCACTTTTCAAGTCTTTCATATCAAGTCTTCATAGGAGCTTAGGGATAGAAAACAAGCGAAATTGAAATATTGAAATGAATATTTTATGGGAATGGCTACAAGGGGCTTAACCTAAAATTGTTTTCAATCTCTTGAAAATGGCGACCTTTTTTGGATAGCTTCCATAAAGAAAAAGGCTCGAAAATCGGAAGCGCCAGAAAAAATTGAAATTTGCTCGAACCGTGAAATTAGTTAAAGGTCTATAAAACGACGTGGATATGGTGTTTTCACTGTCCTACGATCATTCCCACCTTTCACAGTTACCCTATTTCCCAGATTGGGCGCACTTTGTAGAGTTGCCCGCCACACTGCGCGGAAGTTCGGTAGACACAATTACAGTTTCTCTTTTTTTGCATAGTTTAACCTTGTGGTGGTTCCAGTTTTCAAACTGCTTCTATGAAATATAGACTACTAATTTGGATACGAACACAATAAAAAACGCAAAACCAAAGTGAAGAAGGAACATTGACAGCGTTGGGAGCCACACACTACAGGGCTCGCTTTCCCTCGAAGGAGCTGACCCTGCGCTACAGACTTGCAGACTGACCCCTCCCAAAGCGCATGGCGCCTTTACCTTCCGTTGAAGCAGCTGCTTTCCATTAACGGTAGTAGTTAGGAAGTGGCACGTGACGTCGCTAACACGCAGACGTTCCAAGGATGAAAGTTCAGACCGATCTTCACCCGAGCAAACTTCTCCAGCTCCAAGGCTGTCTTGGAAACAAAGTCGTCCGCTTGACAACATGACGTATAATGTGCCTGGCTCTAATCGTGTACAAAGAAAACACATTAAAATGTAGCTGCATTTTCCAACCAAGGTTGTAGTGGTACCGGCGCATGTTCAAAATGGACTGCTCAGCGCTTACCACCATTGATGGAGATAAAAACTAGTTTTCACTAGTCAATGGGGGAAGTAACCACTTTATAAACGTCTTTGAACGCGTGCGAGAAAATGACGTGCGCCATACGCACGCCACGGAATGGGTGGCAAAAAAAGGAGCACACCGTGGTCCGGAGCCAGTGGTGGAGTTCAGTTACCGCGTAGTTCACGCACCGTTACCGCAAGTGTCTATGGCCTCGCTAAGAAAGATTACCATGCGCAGGGCGACAAAGCACGTTGAATACCTTGGATAAATTATTTCCCTGATGTCACTACATAAGCAGGAGCAGGCCCTGCTACTTCGGCGATCGTGAACTGCTGAACCTGTCGCTCCCCTCCCGTTGAGCTCAAAATGACCTATAGTATTTTCTTGGACCTGGAGCAGTTCCGCATTTCAGCGCTGGTCCGCTTTAAGGAGGTTCCTTTGACAGAGCCTAAATAAGCTTAACCTGATTTCACTGTTACATTGTACTAGCACTCGATAATGTGAAGAAACGATAAGTGAGCCACAGGTCTCAGGTTTCGCTGCACTAGCACAAAACGAGCAGGTTCGGAGAACACACATAATTAGGCTGCCACTGGTCCTTACTCCGTGTGTTCTCCATAATTTTTTTGCCAGTTTATTTTTTTCTGGAGAGTCACTTAGTGACAATAAGAAAAATCATTGAGAATGAAAATAATGGACTATGTTGTAAGTCTGTGAATGAACACCACTATCCGAAATATGCTGACGCGGGGGTTTGACTTTGAACTGTCGCTCTGATTCCAAAAAAATTTTCAGAAAAAACAGTAGATGACAGTGCCCGAAGTGAGTGTCTACAATATCCATTCAGCCTGTCAGTCCATGGGAAGTAAGTTCTTAAGGCACGCTCAACGAGGGCCTTTTTTTTCTAAATATAAGTTTCCTTGCACAAATGCCACGCTAAGGCTACTGTTCAATATTCCATGTAAAGTACAGAGTTTATGACGGTCTCCGTCATCAGCTTGACCCTGTTTTCGTATTACAACGCACGATATCAATTAAAACACCGATGATGCGGAAGCAATCCATATGCGAAACATTGATTGAAAAGGGTGCAGACGAGCGAACGCTACACCAAAAATGGATCATTGGTAGCAATTTCTCCCTGGGTTCCCTGAGTTGTAGGAAGATATCCCCAGGAGAAATCTCGTGGACACCTTCCCAGACAATGTGTGAATCAAACCAAAAGTTTAAGGGTCTTTACAAGTTTCCTCCGAGAACTATCATTTTACTTACCCATACTTTCGCATAATGAGGCAGCCCTACTATAAAAAAAACTCAGCTCTTGAGGAGTAACATTTTTGAGTAGCCTTACTTGGGTGGTGTTTACCTTGATCCCCGTTGTCACAGCTCATGATTCGCCAGAGTGAGCGCCAGCGTGTAGAAAATATTCACATTTGACAAAAAAATCAAGGGCAAAGGGCATTGCCGCTGGCCAAACCCTTTGGAATACGCCACGCATGCAACTTCCACTCGGAATCGCGGGAGCGTTTGAGTTGCTGTTCCTCTTTACAGCTAACTCTGGACAAACGGACATTCAGGTCAGTTGTAGAAAATTGACGCTTATAACAAAGAGTACTAAAATCGAAAAAATCCAAGCTGGGAAAGTTGAATGACACAAATGTGGTACAGTATCTCTGGACTGTGATACCACCTCTTCCGTGCTGCTAACCGAAAAAAACAAACACTGTGTGCCTCGGCAGGGGTTACTCGCCAGCAGACTTAGGCTACATCGTGCCTGCTCTTCTGAACCCTCTCACCGAGACTGCTTGACATGTTCTAATATTGCTTAGTGAAAGTCGCCACAGGTTGCTGTTTCACCACTCCCTCTCATCTGGCCAATATGATGCCTCTTGAGAATATGACGGGGCCACACCTCACTGGAGAGCTGTCCCTCTTTCCCCCTCCCCCCCCTGAGGCACAAAGTACCGAGGCAGTTTTTCTGATCCAAGTTAGTTGCGCAGAAGTGCATGCATCAAAGGAATTTCAACAAAGGGCAGGGAAAGGGCAAAGAAACCTCTCGCTGAAATTCGCATTTCGGTCGTGCTGTTCCTTCTGCACTTTCCCTGGACATCATTTTTTTTCAAATTTCATCTGACCTATTTCTATAATTTGGCCACTTTCAAGGTATCAGTAGTAAAGAATTCGAAAAATGATGGGATATCCTGGCTGTGGTGAACAAAAATGCGAACGAATGAATAAAATACCAGAAATAATAAAAAAAAATTAAGCTTAGCTATCACGGCGAAGAAAAAACACGAAAAACACGGTCTCAAGGAAAAAATCGCCAAAATTGAAATGATTTGTTCACAAGCATAAAGCTTATGTTAGGGAGCTAAACTGAGCAAGAAGCACAATGAAAGTAGTAGCTCGGAAAGTATGGAAAAACAAAAATGTCAAGGGAAATGCAAAAAATATCAAAATCAACAGGAAAGATGTGGAAGATTGAACTCACCACTTTCGAAACCAACATAGTTTTGTAGTACGAGTGAAGTTTTTGAGTTATTACTTTGACGATCCTTTTTCGATTTATAAACGTACAATATTGGAACACTGACATCATTAGGCTTTTTGCATAAAATATATCGTTTAACCCACTGAAATAACACTTATGAAATACTACTCATATTTATCAACTTACAGCAGTACTCTAAACGAACTGACCTTCCCGTTTTTAAGAATTCGGCCACTAGATTCGATACAAAGGCCATTGCTATTGAGATCAACCCGTTCCTTCATTTAGACAACGTATATCAGACCATTGGTCTTGACTAGTGTGACAACTGATATCCTATATGTACTTGTAATGACAATTTTCATATGAATACAGTGGAAGCAGTTCCGAGTAAAACAAATTAGCAATAGGAGCGGGCGCAGTTTGTCGACGGGGGGGGGGCATTCTGCTTTCCATAGATGTGCGACCCATCTAGGTAGCCTTTTCTCGAGTTGACACGTTTTAGGATGGTGGCTAGACGATCTTGCTCCAGCTTCACAAGAGTTCACAAGTTTTACCAGAGTGAGATTTGTAAACCGGAACTAGGGAAGCAATGGTAGTACAAAATGCCCCCGTCGACAAACAGCGCCACAGGAGAGTAATAGAAAGTAAGTGAGATCCATAAAAGTAATTCCCTCTGGAAAGGGAACACTGCTGAAATATAGGCTACTCTTCACTGGCGAAACACAGAAGAAGCACAAGGACGGCGAAGTCGGAGTCATTCACTCAATTCTAGGATGCGCCACGAATCGTGCTTCCACTCAGAATCGCAAAGTACGATTTTGCATAAACTATTACGTATGAGGTCCCAGCCGGTGTACAATGTACAGAGTTATTGCCCGAATCTTATTTTAATGACTACTAAATAAAACTTGATACAAACGTTAAATTCACTTGACTTTGCAGAAGAGAAGGAGAGGGAGGGGAGTCAGAGGGACAGCTCAATTCTTATTTCGCTTATGCATCTATGTAGATACTGACAAGGTAATATCCTACCTCAAAGTCATCAGCGGGGGAACGGAGGAGTAGCAAATTACAGCATAGATTATTCGATTTCGAATTCTTGCTTGCTTAGAATTTGACTTGATAGTCATACACAATTTCACTGGCTTACAGCACAACAATGGCCGGTTACCAGTCTTTCCTTGATGATTGTGGAGGGTGTGGAGGGATTTCCCAAAGAAGTAGTTCAGCTTTCGTCTCACATGCTCCCTGAGACGGAAGCTGAACAAGACTTTGCCCCTGTACACGTTGATAAAAAAGCTGAGGAAAGGAAGCAATGGAAGGATTTCCTGGCCTGGACGAGAGCCGACCAGGGATTTGATCTCTTGACTCGTGCTTGGGAACCTTGGTACATGAAATAGCACTGCCCCTATTACCAAGAAGTTCTGATATTATCATCATTACTGGAAAAAATGCTGGGTAAAAGGGCAAGCGACGAAGAAGCTAAATAAATACATATGTAGGCAGTCAATCAAAACTAGATAAGCAATAAATAGCTAGTAAAGTAAATAGCGACCAGTAATTAAATAACCAAATAACAAATAAGTAGCTGAGTATACTGCCTGAACTTATTGCAACCCAACCCATAGAAACAGCTAACCCCATCCCTCATGGGGTTACAATCTGCTTTCACAGCAGGCCTAGGAGAGTTTCGACAAACTTTGATCTGAAGGAAACCATCCATTTTCAAACATGCATTTCTCAGTAATAGAAAAAGGAACAAAATGAAATTTTAATTGAATCTAAAGTAATGAATTGCGCGCTCGGCCGGTATGCGGGAGATGAGGAGTTCGAGTCCCGCCGAGGGTCCTTGCCCGTACCTCAGCATACTTGTTTTAATTTCCGTAGCGCGAAATGTGGCTTCAAAATCATTTATCACGCAAAACATCTAAAATCAACTCAAATAAAATAAAAAATAAAAAAAACCTCAAAAAACGATAAATGCGGCTGCAATGATATTATCGTAAAATAAATTATTCAGGTGATGACAGAAATGGTAAGGGTTGTTTATCCAATCCCAGCCCACCAGCGTAATCATAGGTGTTAATGTAGGTGTTGACACTGTTGAGCAGGACATCTATCTTGGCCCAAGTATACAGAAACCACAGTATTTGTGTGTACATATGGCTTGGCTGATCAGGACCCCTACCACTTGAGGTATTGGCATATGAACCTGAGGAACCTTTCAAAAATTCCCTTTGTAGGAAATGTAATTGGATTTATGCAAATCAATAGCGTTAGCTGTTACCAGAGAACTTTCCATTGAGCAGGTACTGTAATAAAAAGTCTTGCAGAAGTCATAAAAGAGAGATAGCGCAATGGTGAGATGAAATAGGCGATAAGACATAACGGTATGACTGAAAGGGGTCAAATGGACATGAGATGGAATGACGGACGTCGTCATAAGCGGAAAACTTCACAGCATGTAGGCCGTTTCAATAATGAAGTCACCAGACATGCGCGTTGATAATCAATAGTATCAATGATTGCGGCGGTCGGTGCGTAAGGTAGGGGGTCGCGTAGGTGTGCGTGTGTGTATGTGAGTGTGTGTAAAACAGGCTCAGCACCGGAAACAGTGCCGAACGTCGTCATCGTCGGGCCCATCGACATTATTGTCGTCATCGTCTACATTCTCGACCCTTCTGAGCCTGTGGAAAATCACTTGGCACGTGGGGTAACAGCCACGGAACACGTTCCAAAGGAGCCAATTCCAGCTGTGTCGGGTGTTCGCACATGGCTGCGTCAGCGATTATAGAGCGCGAAACGCTGAAGATGGTTCTCACCTACCAGGGTACAGCATTGTTGTGTGAAACACATAGAGGAGTCGTACTTTATGGTTGGGTAGTGGGGGGGGGTGTTGGGAGAGGAGGGGGTCGTATGTGCATTTGGGAGAAATTTGCGTGTTGGGAAAAAATTTTCCCGGTTGTTGACTTTTCGCGTGATTTTTCCTGTTTCATGTGTACTATATACCCCCCCCTCCCGCTCGACGGAAAATTTTTGGGTGAAAAACTGGAAAATGTGGGAAATTGGTAGGTAGGTGTTGGGGAAGGGAAGTGGGTTGTACCGAGACCCTCATTTAGGTGGGGGGGGCGTACCTAAATCACCCGTTCACACATCGTGATGCTGTCGACTAAGCGTGGTTTGTTTCGTGCGAAATTTTGGGCTAAAAATTTTGAACGCTTCTCACGTCAGCCGTCCGTCCACAAAGCAACGGGATCTTCTAGGGTGCTTTCCTCTACAACTCGATCCATAAATCATCTACTCTTTCATGAGACCAGTGCAAAAACTTTTGCGAAGCACCGTTTTTTGACCCTGTTTTAATTTTTGATTTGATTCTTATCGAAAATCGTCAGAAAAATTGAACACTATCGAGGACATGAAATTCTTAGTAATCCGCCGTATTCTGATTACCCTACCATATTTAGATTTCTCCCTACACTTAATTTCGGATTTAATGCTGCGGATTTTCACATTTTCAAGCTCTTTTCTAGGAGACCAACAATTTAGCGAAAAGAACGGGGTCGAGAAAGCTTTATCGACTAATGAGCTCTTCTTCTTCTCCCTAGCGTTAGTCCCGCGCCGTCGCAGGGTCCGCTGTTCTTGTTAGACGTCGCCACTTGTTCCGATCCACTGCATCTTCTGCCGTGGCTTTCACTTCAGTGAGGTCCTTCTTGATGACGTCCCTCCATCTTTTCTTGGGGCTCCTCGTGGTCGCTTGCCCTCCACTTCGAATTCCAATGCCTTCCTTATTGGGTGGTCTTCAGGCCTCCTCAGTACGTGCCCATACCATCGCAGTCGCTGCTCTCGTGCTTTAGCTGATTCGGACTCCGTATATGTTACTATCCTGACGTCCTCGTTCCTGATTCTACCGTGTCCAGCTGCAGGTTCATCTCATTCTCATTTCATTTGATTGAAGCTGCCTTTCATGGTTCTTGCAGATGGGCCAGCACTCACTGCCGTAGAGCATTGTAGGCCTTACCACCGCCCGGTACACCTTGCCCTTGAGCGTTCTCGAGCACCGCCGGTCGCACAGGATGCCAGTGGACTCCCTCCATTTCATCCAGGCTGCGTTGATTCGGGCCTTCACCGCCTGGTCCACGCTGCCATCAGCTGCTAGGTCGCTCCCCAGGTACTGAAAGTGCTCAACCCTTTCGATGCTTTCGCCGCAGCGGTCCATGGTTCGGGTGAACTCTTCGGAGTCAAGGAACTTGATGTTCTTTACGTCCAGCAGGATTTCATCCTCAGCGAGCATATCTTGCCAACTTCTATACCCAGGGAATATTAGAACTCGTTTCGCATTAAGCAACTGTGCAGATTGCAGTGTTTTCTCTTTCAACGTATTTTCGCTGAATACTAGTTTTGAGTTTCAAGTCAGAGATCCCGAATTCCGGTTAGGCTGCGTTTATACTTTGCGGCAGCGTAGCGTAGCGTAGCGCTTCCAGCGTACGCCAGCGGCAGTGCCGGGGAGAGGATGCATATCGATCTAGCGTTCCCAGCGTCACCAGCGTCACGCTAGCGTACGCCAGCGTTTCACCAGCGTTTTGCTAGCGTTTGCAGCGGCAGGGGAGTAGAGACTATGGGAGAGCTGGAGGGTACAAAACACATCGATTGCGCGTCTCTGACGGCCACATAGTCTCTACTCCCTGCCGCTGCAAACGCTAGCAAAACGCTGGTGAAACGCTGGAGAAACGCTGGCGTAACGCTAGCGTACGCTAGCGTGACGCTGGTGACGCTGGGAACGCTAGATCGATATGCATCTGCCGCTGGCGTACGCTGGAAGCGCTACGCTACGCTACGCTGCCGCAAAGTATAAACGCAGCCTTAACTGCCCATCGTGCCTGGAATCCGCTAGATTGCTGAGGTCTTGCAACAGGAACCATGAAAAATTAGGGCAGATCATCGCGGTGTAAAAAACAACTTGTGAAGTGGTAGTATTTGCCCCCTAGCGAACTGGACTCGAGAGAACCGAGTGGAGACTGTGCGATATCTGTGGGGTCCAAACAAGCATATGGGTCTACTCGCTTGTGGCGCTTGCGCTAGGCGGTTTCAGACTAGGAGGTGTGACATTTGTGGTCAAACTACTGATGGAGTCACGTTTTCAGGCACTGATCTTTCAGCCAGTTTAGCCTGTACAATTCGTATAGAAAGGGGTCATACTGTCCATTCATGTCCTGCATCATCATCAAATTCTGCCTGCAGTCTAGGAGCTGAAATCGTGCTCGCAATGCCTACAGTAATCACGCCGTCAAGTGGCGAAATTCAATATTGTATCACCATATTGTTCTCCGTCATCCAATCACAGTTTGGCCACGGGCCATGTGACAGCCGGACGAGCCGCATTTATCACGTTATTATATCGGCCAGCTGCTGAAATAGCCGTCGGTAGTGTTACCATTAACGAGCTTTTAGGACCAGTTTTCAGGTTCTTTGCTGAAAGAGTTCCATTTTTCACTGATTTTTTACGCATTCTGGAATCATGGGAAATGTCCTTCATCACTACGTGTCATTTGGGTTCAACCTGTCCTTGTAGTAAAAAAAACGAGAACCCTTCAGGATGAAATGATAGATCGGTGATGTTTCGTAATCACCAGAGAGAACTTTGTTCCCCACAGTACCCAGAGAATGCATTCAGCACGTACAATTCTTTGTTGTGAAATTCTTTAGAATCGATCAACAGGATGGTGACGAACTGCTGGCTATGGGTCGTCTATGGATCCCAATGGGTATCACTGCTGATACTGTTTGTTGGTAATGAGAAGGAGATATCGGAATGTATTATCATTGTTAGTACTGTAATTGCATTTTCCTGGAACCATATGCAGACGTGAAATCTGAAGATTTGCTGCATTTCAGCCATTTGGAATTTGATTTTCTCGTAATTGCAGTCAGCTTTTTCCATCGAAGAGATCTGCTTCAGAGACAACTACCCCAATGATTTTGTGGAATATGAGCAGTACTTATTTGCAAGGTTGTAGAGAAGCGCGCGACAAGGCACCCAAACAAATCTGGCCACTGCAGCAGTTTTCGTTTTTCTTTCGGGCTCTTACCCACCTGATTCCTCGAAAAATTTTCTTTACTGTTTCAGTTGCCCACCCATGTCGAGGAATTTATTGACGACTTGAACCTAACTGTTGGTAAAACTATTATAATTTGGCGACATGGTTCTATTTAATAACAACATCAACTGGCTAGTAAATGCCAGGAGCTCGGAGACCTCGCTTAAAGACAGCTCCCGCGATAAAAGTGTCAAGGATAATTGCTGATCAATTATGAAACAGTAGCTGATAAGTAATTCCTCAATGAAGGAAAAAAGCAACAAGAGCCCTCAAGAACACCACAAACAAAATTGCTCCCTTACAGTTACACCGCCCTGCGGTCCGTGGGCAACCCCTGGCTCACAAATCGCTTTATGGCATTTCCCAGTAGTGGATATCATCCAATGCAAAAAAAGAATACGGAAAACAACAAAAACACGGAAGAAAAACTCTTGAAAAGGAAAATAAACTTTTAAAAACTCGGCGTCCGAATTAAGGGTTACGGTAGCGTGCATCTTTTAGTGTGTTTAGTGCGTCGAGCTTTTGCACCACGAAAATTGGGTCGCTCGTGATTTTTACGCGTTTTACCTTGCGAGATGGGTGAAGTTGACTGTATGTGCTCCCAATGAATAAAATGTGATGAAGGAGAGCAGAATTATTTATGGGCACGAGCGCGGTCAGCAAAAAGTACATGCAGTTCCGATTAATGCCCGCCGTCCCAACAAAGAACAACTGAGCGGCTCTCCGTCAGAGGGCAGCTAGCAAGTGGGCGGTCCAACTGAGCGGGCGTTAGAACTAGAACTTTGAGCGGCTGTAGCTCGCTCCTCGCTCACTGTGGAGTTGCGAGAGTGGGACAGCATCTAGCTTGGGGGCTGAACTACCTGCACAAGGAAGGACGACCATGGACTACTACTTGAGCGCGGGGGCTGTCTTTAAAGGCCCGCGCTTTGTACAATTTGCTGAAACAGAAGGATCCTTTCCAAAGACCGGCTTCGTGTAAAGCGATTTCTACGGTTTTTTTTCATGTGTGGTTCTTCACAGTTTACACAGCTCTTTTCTTTCCACATGTATTCGAATGCGATTAGCTGTGAGAGCGGCTTATACACAGGTATGGTCCACAACCCCTCCCTTCCCCCCAAAATAGTTACTTCTGACCTGGCCAAGGTTGATTAATCACAACCTGATCGTAGTGTTCGATCCACCTATCACTGATGTCGCGGTTGAAGTGCTTTGGGTTGCAAGCAGTTGAATCGTATAGAGCGAATATTAGATCAGACATATTGTGCCTATGAAGGGGCAAGGGAGCAGTTCGGCGACGGGGGGACATTTTGCCCTTTCACTGCTTCACTACTTCCGGTTTACAATTCTCACTCTAGTGAAAATGAACCTGTGAACCTCCTGTGAACCCTTGTGAAAATCCAGCAAACTCGTTTAAGCACCATGGTAAAAGGTGTCAACTCAAGAAAAGGCTATCTACATAGATGGGTCGACCATCGATAGGGAAACAAAATGCCCCCCCCCCGTCGCCAAGCTGCGCCAGGGGCAAGCCTCACACGGTACTTGATGCAGATTTTTGTCCCAGACTTCTGGAACCTCTCACTGGGGGCTTTTTTTGGTTGGGAATGCTTCAATAAAAATCGCTTTCTGCCAATCTAGTTTTTGCTTGTTTTGATTAGCTATAAAACTTCGGCCCTCCAGAATACTTACTTTCTGACAACGAAATGTTGCAAACATCCCGACGATAACTGGTACATGTGCATACTTGTACATGTAAATGTGCACTAGTTTTGACAGATCGATGGTTTTTGAGGCCTGCACGTGAGCCTTCGCGCCACCCTTTTATAACGGAGTTCTGACAGAAGGCAGTAGACTTCGCGGTGCTGAATCGTGGACAGTGAGGTACAAGTGCAAGCAATGGGACAAGGAACCCCACAGTGAAGAAAAAAAAGCAAAAAAAAGAACCGCCGAAGATACCGTGAGTAAGGCCCTATCCCTTTCAAGTATTCTACCAGTATGAGAAGAAGAGAGACTGCGCGAGAGATCGAGAAAGCAGACAAGCGAGCAGCGAGAAAGCCCACATAACGTTGCTCTAAGCGCGTGAGCCACACGTCAGCACGAGCCTCGTGCGCCTTACTGGTAAGAATACAGCCGGCCTAGCTTCTTCTGTACTACTCATGTATCGATAATTTCGTAGATATCATCAGTTTTATTAGTAGAACTCTGTGTACATACAAACACCACAAGTTATTACTGAGGTATTTCCTAGGTGTTCAAGAAAGATGAACGTTCGGTTGGTCGTCGGAATGTCAGACGAGATGCGGAGGACATTGGAATCTTGGTGGTATTGTGATTTTGCGACTGGTTCAACGGCAAACACCTGGAAATACAAACACCTGTAAAAATTAGCGATCACTAATCTTTTTTTGCTGCTGGTGTTATATTTTTTTCGAGTGATGAAGAGGGTAAAAGTAAAAAGTTAGAAGAGGTCAGTTGAATTTAGCCGAATGTCCCTGAGAAAAACTTGTCCCACAAAATTAGTTGCTGAATTAAGTAGAACAACAAAACGAACTGGTTAGTAATCTCATGTCAGTCATTTCCACTCCATGAATTAATGTGAAGCTATGAAGGGATCTCTATTCATTATGCTAGGAAGGTCAGTCCACGCTGGTCGTAGGGGTGGAGACAGTTGTCCACCGTACCTTCTCTTCCTCTTCAAGAGGAATATGGTAACTGTCTCTGCGCATACGGTCAGAGTGGCTTGAGTTTTCAAATGTTGTACCTTAGCTGATTGCGAAGATGCTGCTGTAGCGTCGTTGAAAACGAAAGTATCAGCCATGCTGAAGCGCCGGCGTAGATGTCATTGAATACATTGTATAATAGATAAAAGATCTAAATGTAAGAGAATAGTCAATTTTCCATGTTTTACCTTTCAAGTTCTAATATAGGGGAAATCAATTCCAAATCTCTCTTCGAGATATGCTCTTTACTCAACCTGGGATTTGGCCCTTGCCACGTGTGATGTGAACGGGTCCACAACTGTGAAAAAGTGCCTCATCGTCACTTGAAAATGCTCGAAAGTGAGACAGGGGGTTGATGGTGGCTGGATACCATTTGGGGCTCCACCCACAGGCAAAGAACGCGGCACGGCACAAGCCGCACTACCAGCTACATGTACAGGGGGGGGGGGCAAAAAAATAAGTCACTTTTCTTCATTGACCTTCGTGGCGCTATAAGTTACACTTTATAAATTCTAATCGGACATTTTTACCACCATATTGAAGAGAGCATATTAAATACTATTATAAAACTCCCACAGCCTTCTGGACGAGCGCCATCGAGAGATTCTGGCACGCGACCGCGATGTGGTGCCTGAGATCAGCGAGATAGTCGATTTCTCCGCCACCGTAGACCACCCTATTGAACTCCGCCCGAACCGAGTAACTGAGGGGATTCAGGTCAGGTGACCTACACTCAGCCCCCTTCCATTCCAAGTAGGCGAGAGTTTCTCCAACGCCCTTCGATTCCACGTGGTGGCACCCAATGCTGTAGCAGTACAAAGTTTCCAAGAAGGTACGACATGTGGGGAGGATATTCTTCTCGAGTTGCTCGATGTAACCGCCAGCGCTCACCTTCAGTCCGGGGTCCACGAAGAAAATATTGGTCTTTCCATTCCAGGTACCTCCGGTCCATACCATCAACCCCTTGACGACTGCGGTGAAGATGATGTCCTAGACCGTAGCGACGTTGTCGGAGCTGCTCGATGTTGGAGGTCTTCCAGATTGAGAGTACTGGTCTCCAGGTAGCTACCCATGGGTGACTCCATACTAGAAGTTTCGCAGCTGTTTGGAGGTGACATGAATTCCAAAGGTCTTCTCCAGTCAGGCTGCGACTGGAGATGACCTCATATTTTGGTGTACGAAGGTGATGGGCGAGGGCCAGCTCCTGCTTATCGAGGAACATCTTGGGTATCTTCCGCCCTGGTACTCGTATCCACGTCTTCTCTCTGGGCTGAAAACTTTGCTGATATGTGACTCGGTCGAAGTGACTTTTTTTGCCCCCCCCCCTGTATGCCTAGCCAAACTAATCGCGCTGCTTGCCTGCGCCTATTTCATCTGGTTAAGAGCTGTTGTTCTTTTTACTCGAGCACGATAGACCGCTTGCCTATCATTTTGTCCGCTGCGGGATCTTGGCATCGATGCGCACGTTTTCTAGTGATGAGAGTGGCACACATCTATAGCTGTGTGTCCGACCTCGTCCCTGGCACGGTTCCACGTCTAAGATAAGCCTGCCCTTCATCAGATGATCTCATGCTAGGCTTCAGTGAGCCAGCACACATTAGTCTCAGAAACCAACTGCTTGACAGCACTGTATTGCCAAAAATCAGCCAGAAATTCAGCTCCATACCCTTAGAAGGCTACTAAACTACTCACCCTGGTATTTAGATGAGGCTGAATAAGAAATGCGTACAAGATGTATAAGTAGTAGGCTATTTCAATGGCACAAGTAACAACGGAGACAATTGTGAGGTTATTTTCCTGGCGCTGCTTATCCGACAACACCTTCTGGTTCAACGGAGCACAATATGAAGCAGATTTCCGCTGAATGAAACATGATTATACCTATTAATAATCGGTTTGTGCTTACTTCCGTCTCTATTACTCCAATACTAATACTTTTGAACACTATAGCTTCAGCTTTCCCCGAAGGTACTGAAAACTCCGATTGTGTGGGTGCAGTCAGAGAACCACCTTGCTGGCCCTACGTCCATCGTTCCATAGCAATGTACCAACCCTCGACGCAGGTAGAATGGACCCACCTCGCAGCTTCACGTGGTATCGACGTAACCAGTCGGGTGGCGCCCAAGGGCATGGAATGGGCCCATTCGCGTCTTCTTCCCTTACTGAATCAATCACTGCCCGATCAGTTAGGAAGAGCGCCGGAGACGAGCTTATTCCGCGCCTTCTGACGCCGCCCCGACTGGTTGCGATGGTATCAACTATAACTGAGCAGTGAGACTTTACGGTCCAAGCCTCCGCAGATTGATAGTATGACATAATGGATTCACTTACCAGTCTGTATTTTCTTTTAAGCGTAATCATCATTGTGATATTGATTATAATAATGAAGACCATGAAAAACGTATCCAACGCATATGCAAAGGTAAAGTATTTCGCACGAAAATTCAAGTCTTCGAACTGGATATAAATTCTGGAATTGAGATTACGTTTCGTGTTAAAATCAGTTTGGTTCGCTGCGACAAATAAACTGTGTATATTCGCCAAGTCACATTCACCATGGTTGGACGACTGTACATGACATCAATGAATAAACATACAACTACAATTACAAATTGAAACATCAACTAGCAAGGTAAACTTACCCTCTCGCTTGCTTCTTCCAGAAGAACTTCTGCGGAATAAGGAACGATCCGATGGTGATGCCAAGACTGAATTGAAACACGAAAACTAGATTTGCCCAAGGAGAGTTCCATATCTAAACAACATCATTACGATAAACCGAGAAGGTAACCATATAGTAGCGTCCTTGCTGCCGTGAGCGCTGTCTGCGAGCATTAAGAAAACTTTGGGGCAAAGCGAGTTATACGAAGAACAAATAGCAGGCATGAGTGCTTCACTCTCCACAATGTGAATCTCCAAACGATGCCCACAAGAAAACAAATGAACAGCAGGCATTATTTACCCTTTTAATTTTCAAAATCAGCCGAGTTTCTTACAGCGAATTTTTCTTCGAAGGTAGACTTGGCTGAAAGTCTGCCCCAGGCTAGTTCAACCTTCTGAAAAGAAATATCGCAGCTCGAAATGGCCTGGTTCCAGTGCCACTGGCGTCTGAGCCAAAATACCCTAACACCGAATTCGCTGGAAATGTGTCCCGGGGTAGTTTCGCCTCCTGAACCCGAATTTCAGAGAACAATCGCGGTTAAATTCTAGTCAGTATTCTTCTTCAAAGGAGTCATCCCCTGCTTGGGCAAGACTGAGCCTAAGCCAAGGGTAACTAACGCAGGCAGCCGGAAAAGGTGCCGTCGCTTCTTGCCAATTCCATAACTGCTCACGAGCCCGCTTCGCATAGAACCTCCTGGAGTCCGCGCTGATTTGCTGGTGCTTGTGGCGGAGGCATCAGGTGGTTTAGAACATATTCGTATTCGAGCTCAAACTATCCTGGATGCAAGTATTTCTTGCCGCGTCTGCCCTGAGAAAAACTCGGTGAAAACTGGCCTGATTTCTGAGGGTTGAGTATTCATAGAAATCGACTGTGGTTTCTATTAGGTATCTATGTATGTAGGTTTTTAATAATTGTGATTTCACTGTGATTTTATTATTAACTTTACCATATTTCATCATTTATTTTTATTTTTTTACTTTATTTGATTTAATTATAACTATTTGGTTGCAAATCTAATGTGATTTCATCGATTAGATTAAGTTTATTTATTTTGAATCTTTGTTTTAGTCAGTATTTTATAACTGTTTTCATTTACTTTCATTATGTAACGGTTTTTCTTTATAGTTGTCCGCTCACATAGTACTTCGAGGCTTTGTGCCGAAGTTCTCGAGAGTCTTTGTGTACCTGTTTTCTTGTACATTCCACTGCTGATTTAATAAACTCAATTCTGCTCTTGCTTATACGGTGAATATCCTGTAGAGAATTGTCTTGCGCTAGTCTGATGGACAGAATGCCGTTTCAATCCAATGCTTGATTAACCCCGCGCGTGCCCTTTTCAGATTTTTCAAGCATGTGAAAAGAGCACTTCGGACGATTTTTTTTCGACTATAAATTGGGGCAATCCGCAATCGAAACAGCTCAACAAATTAACCAGGTGTGGGGGCCCAATAGTGCTAGAGAAAGCACTGTGCGCAATGGCTCAACAATTTCGTTCTGGAGATTTCAGCCTTGAAGATGAACCTCATAGCGGTCGACCTAAAGCAATTTGAAGAGATTTTAGGGGGATTTTGGAGGCTGACCCATCCAAACAGTTCGAGAGATAGCAGAAAAGCTAGGCCTTGGCAAATCCACTGTTGCAGATGGTCTGGAACGCTATTTTGACGGGAAAAACTCGACAATTGGTGCCCCACAATCGGAGTGACCGGCAGAAATCGGCACGTCTCGAGGTTCCTTCTGCATTGCTTTTGCGCAGCAGAAACGACCTGTTTTTTGGGCCGAATTGTCACCTGTGATGAAAATGGGTCATGTATGTAACAGGAGACGTTCCGGACAGTGGTTGGATTCAACGAACCACCAAGGTCATATTTCAAAGTCAACCCTAGAAAAAAAGATTCTGTCACGGTTGGCTGGGTATGCGGCTGGTGTGGATGCCACATACTTTTATCACGGCGAAACCATCGACGGAGAACCTACTGTGAAAAAATCGACGAAAATTGTACCGAAAATTTGTCAAGAATGCAGCCAACTTATCAAAAGAAAGCGGCATCCGATTATCCTTATTGCATGACAACGCCCGCCCACACGTTTCACAAATCACTATCTATAAATTGTACGGATTGGGGGTTGAAGTTCTACCTCAACCGCCATATTCCCCAGACCTTTCGCACATCGAATATCATCTTATACATTTTCAGAACTTCCGCCCTTGCTGACGTACTTCATCAGTCAGGACCAGGCAAAAAAGCCTTAGTGATTTCCGTGATTATCGGACATCCCCAGCTTTTTCAATTTGATGGATTGTCATCGACTTGCGTCACATTGGCAAAGTGTGCTGATTCGAATGGTGCCTATTTCGATTGAAATCCGATGAGTATTAAAAAAGTTACGATCGTTTAAAGTGAAACACCCAAAGCGCTGAGACCTTTCTTACAGGTAGACCTGATATTGTACGTCGTGATTGTCGAGGTATATATGATAATTGTCGACTGGTCAACTGTGATTTGATTTATATACTTTACCAATATCTTATCACTATATTTATATTTTTTACTTATTGATTTAATTAATAACTTTTGGATTGGGCAAATCTAATGCGATTGATTGAGACCAGAGGCTTATTTCTAATCTTGTCGTTTAGTCACAGAATTGGATGACTATATCATTTATTGATCAGTTGTGAGAGGCAGGTTTCTTCATCTCTGTATTGCTTACGTATGCTTCTCTACGACAGACACCATGTACGTTGGACGTGTGCAAGGTGATGGAGCTGCTAACTGCTTATTTTTGTGTTTGAGATGGCGGACAACTCACAAGCTCTAGTTTTAGCGGCAATTCGTGAACGTCTGTTCTTTTAAAATAGAGCGGTATGCAAGCTTTGAAACTCTAAGCAGCGGAAAATGGCCGGCTTGCGTGAGTGCGGATGGTGGAGATGAGGGGCGTCGGAGCCGATCGCAATGGGAATGTGCTCTTTTAGCACTTTTGCGGTGATTTCGATTTCCATCAGGGCCGTATTGAATTCCGAGCTAAGCTTGCGGTCTTTGCGAATTTCCGTCACCCGGATTTCTAAGGGTCTTTGGTGCGGATCACAAACATGGCACTGGCCATTCGACACCACTAGCTTCTTTGAAGAATCTTCATAAATCTGCTAACTGAACTTCAACAAGCACTTCCACAACTTTGACGCGAGGGAGAGGGAGGCACTTTGCACTTTCTCAAGTCACCCCCCCCCTCAAAGTAGAACCACCAAGTAGAGATCTGCGGGAATCTTGTGAAGCTCTGAAGTGGTACCAGTCAAAGTTTGTAGACCCCCCCCCTCCACAAGCTGAGCTGTACCCAGTTCTGGTCAGAGGTGGACTTACAGAAGCAGTTTGTCCACTGCGTCTTTCTAGAGACCTAACAAATTACATGCTGGTATTGCGAAATACATCGAGCAATTCAAGTGACTATATCTCGGCCCTGATGCTTATTTATTCATGAGGCAAGGAAAACTGTATCTCCGAAGCAAAAAAAAGAATCCAAGACGGCAACAAGTGACTTTCCCTGCCACAGTGATTTCCAACAATGTGTGAGATTGGAGGGCCCAGGTGGCTCCTCATCAGAAAAAAAAGGATTAAAAAAAGTGCAGAGGAGGTACCTGCCCATTCCAGTGGGTTCAGAGGATTTTACCTGCAAGCATACAAAAGAAACAAGTTGTTAAAGACTCTGGTAAGATGCGAAAGATTAAAAACAAAGTATGAGAGCAGAAAGATAAGCAAGACTACAGAAACCAACCCATGCCATCCAAACCGTGCTGGAATGGGTCTATTGGTATCAAGCCATGAACCTGCACTGCGCATTATAATGCACATTTTCGGGAGCTACCGCGATTCGGTAGCTGGGGGCTGGGTTTGGCGCGGCGCCAGCCAGTTGTGGTAACATGTCAGCTAGCGCAATTTTTGGAGAACAGGCTGGCGCTGCGTTAAACCTAGTTTTATAATGCCTCAGAAACAAGAATGCAGCTGGCCCGAAGCGTCTCGGCTCATTAAGATAACTGAGAGTGACAATTGCCCCATAAAATTTTGTATTGTAAAGAAGTTGCATAAGAAGATCTTATTGTGAATAGGATGAGTACTACTGTTTAACTTGTTCTTTATTGTTGTTACTACTAATGAAATGACACGTAAGGAACGTGTTAGAACATGTCGTCTGACAATATGTTGCCTCTGGGAGGTAGCACGTCGTTATAATAATTGCTGCTTTTAATTGCGATAGCACTCATTTTCGTGGCCTTCCGAATGCTAGTCGCTAGTGTAAAACAATTGCGATTAGCAAAGAACTACAGAAACAGGAAAGTAGCTTAGGGAATTTCATGCAAAGTTAAAGGCGAGCCACGCGATAAATTGGCAAGGCGTACAGAGCCGATACACCTCGCGCAAATGGATGCCCTTAGCAGGCGCTACGTGGCGCCTTTCCAACCAAGGCATCGTTATAGCGCCTAAACAAGGTGCAACATGCCGACCCACACGCCCACCGCAACCGCCCGCCCACAAATGGCCGTACAGTCACATGGGAGCTGCTTCTTTAGATTCGTCTACTCTTAAACCATCCGTTCTTGAGGAACAAGCCACTGGTTCACTTTGGTTGACCGGATCCTGCGCCGCCCTCAAAAAGCAAAGAAGAATTAGAAGAAATTATGAACTATACAGTTGCATCCTAATGCTTGAAATATTGCCCTTTTGGCTTGAAACCATAGTTTTGAAGCTTTTCAAAAGCACACAAAAAGTTGACAAGTGGCGACGTCAAAATGAACTTTTTGTCTTACTACATCGTTACGACTTCAAAGAACAGACATTAATACGTCATAATCAAATACGAAGCTCACTGAATCGAAGAAGAGCAAAAATGTCAAGACTACGGTGCCACAAAAGAAAGCGTAGTTTTTGCAGTCCGTTTTACTCTTGTTTCTTTTTGTTTCATTACCTCTGTCTAGCTATTTAGCCTTCATTTCATATGAATTCCATACATTCATTATTATTTTACCCTTTTTGTGAAATAGAAGGTGCACAGAGGCGGGGGGGGGGCTCTTGTGGAGCTTTGTGATATTTGCACTTCAGGACTAACATGTTTAGCGTTATTGCTTTCTCATTGATCCTCACTGTGGCTATTTCTCGAAATGCATGACGAGGAACAAGTTGAAAGCCCGCAACACTTGCGTGGCCCATCTGTAATTGGTTGCTCGCTCACGATGGCCAATCACGAAAGTACTACGCATCCCTACACACACTGGTTGGGCGACTTGAACTTCTTGGTCGTGTTGCGAAATCCCTTAGCGCATACAGATGGAGCACAACGTTGAGCTTCTTGCAAATGAACTCATGGCGAGCAACGGGGTTACGTGACATCTTGGCTTTTGGCTTGGTCCTGTTGCGAAACCACGGAGGAAAGAGGAAAGCGCTTATCAAAGCATCGAAATGTGCAAGAAACATGTGGCGAGCTAGAACAACGTTTTTCATGGGGAGGCCACTCCGAGATAAATGAGCCATTTATCTTTGTGCAAAGCTGGAATATGTGACGTAACCATTACCGTAGAATACCATGGACGAGAGGGTGCAGAGAAAAACAGAAGATGCATTTCATTCATTGCATTCATTACGCATCCAAAGAGTCTATGTTTAAGTTGCCTTCGGATCGAGCCAGGAAATGGACTTTACCGTGGAGGTGGAGGCGAGGCAGTGGTCTTCCCATTATAAGAGAAATGCCATGTGAAAGGACCTGGACTGGAGCAGGTGTTGCGGGCTCAGGATGGCGTCTGGAAGTGGAAAAGTGCGCCGAGTGCACTCCCGTCCACGTCCCCTCACATCCCTTTCATTTGTAAGGATAATGACTGCACATACCTGCTTGTGCCTGATTGGGCTACACACAGCTGTAGCTCTGTTCAGGGCCAGTAGTGTTACAGTACATCCTTGACTACAACGTGTAGTCCATGCAATGACTAAGTAGATTTGACCGAAAGTTGTTCCTTGTGACATGTAGAAGTCGAGAAACCAACTGAAACGGTAAATGGAATCAAAAATGAAGCTCTCCAGTGAGGTCGACAGCTTCTCTATCTTTATGCGGCTCCCTATTTTCATATGGTTCTTACCATTTTCCTTCCAGAAAATCCTCACTACTGGCAGTTTATTCCCTTTTCAGTAACCACACAGTTGTTTCCGCTGCAGACGGTGAGGCGTGTCAACGGCTAGAGCGTGTTAGTGGTTAGGCGCGACGCCAGCCAGTTGCCAGTTCTCCATTGACTGTAGAAGCGGGCAAACGACTGCGATTGGTGGAGAACGGGCTGGCGCCGCGACAAACATACCCCTCTCCCGCCAGTGATACGCCCAGCTTCTGCAGCGAAAACGGCTGTACATCTATGCCTTGAAAGCCGAAAATGCTTGTAAAGTTAAAATCGATGTGCAATTGTTTCAGTGGTGGGAATGACGTCACCTTCTAGACGGGAAAATAGCTCCAAGATAATTATTGAGAATTGCGATGATATCAAGCACTCCACCGACAATGAATATTCGATAGAACATGCCTGAAACAACCAATAAATATGATATTTCATCACAGGAGAGATAAAAGGGCAGAGTTCTGGCGTAAATCATCTCTCCTTGGGATGCGCCATGCATTCCACACCAGTATCTCATAGGACTACTTTGAAAGCCATTTGGCAAGTTCATTTACTACGGGGACAGTTGACGGGCAATTCAGGGCTTTTGTCCTTCCGGAGGAATCTAGTAGCGATTTACTGGGCCGCGGAGGGTGGAAAAGAAACTGAGTTGGCCTCCCAAGAGCCAATCTGAGGTCTGACCCGGACCGCGCTATTGGTAAAGGGCATTCCATGCCACAAACAATCTACACGCTGGGATTCTACAGATATTCCACCAATTTCACAACTAACCTTTGTAAGAAGTTTTTCTGAGAGTAATCATAATAGTTACTACGGTTATATATAGAGGTAAGGTAATAGCCATGTAGGTCATGCATGAGTAATTAACCACGAGTTCGAGATAGTCGAACCACGGAGGCAGTGTTGCGTTCGTGAATCGCATTCCAGAATGTCCTGTAAATGTACTCATTGAGTAAAACTGAACAAATGAAAATTGGAAAGGCGCCAAGAAAGTGCCTTGGCTGGCGGGTGAAACGTCAAATGATGAATGATGCAAACAAAGAACACATCTAGCTAAAGCATAATTGGAGATCCGACAGCTATGTGCTCAATTCAGATGAGCTATTCGCTCAGCCAAATGTATCCGGAAAACGCCAATTTACAAGTACGAAGATCGACGTTCACTCAGAATTATGACGATGTTCGTAAAGCATCAAAAAACTAAGTATGCGAGACCTCACAATGATGAAAAAGTTGCACCCAAGCGTTGCAGAATGTTGCACCCTAGCGGATTTCTGGCTTGCAAAGGAAAAAGAATTTGCAAGGTGCATTATTAGACCTAGTTAATTGGATTAAGTTTTTTCCTACAAAGTGGTCGACGGCTGGAATGCCCGTCGGCCTGACATTCTCATGCGTCAAGAGGCGATGCCCACATTTTGGCGATCGTTTTCGTTTTGTTCTGTTGATTGAGAGATCATATTTCACGTAATTTTCATGAATCTGAATGAGCCTTGAAGTCATGAATCACAATGATTCCAAGAATATCCTGGCCATTTTTATTTTACGGAAACCCCCGCAACTGCCCTCTTCAGAACACTACACAAAAGCGTCAAAAATAGATTGTGTTCTCTCCAAGAAGGTACTTACCAGCAATATCTGAGAACCAGTGAGAAAAAAATCAACGGCTATTGGACGGTCCTCATTTTAAAGGCCTTCGAACATTCGTGGCTCAGCAGTGAGTAATAAGGGTGCTGTTGCCATCATGAGCTGGAGGAACACTATACGTGGAAGGTGCCCCACCCATCTCAGGACGAGATATGCCGGCGATTCCGTTTCCGCAAAAGCAGGTGTAAGGCGTTGCAAACGAGTTATGTAGGAGCACTCTTTGTCGTCTTGCTCTTCTAACAGCTTGTCATTCACTTTTATCATCCTTTTTCTCCGAGTTCTCTCCTGCGCAGCAATGTCTCGCTTCTTCGAGCATTCGTCCAATGCTGGGGCCCTATTTAGAAGGTCTTCGATGAATTTTCACGTTTCTTATTCACATTTGAATCAATCAGAGTGCCGCTAGAACTGGCCCCCACGCCATCTTGGCAAAGGAAGAACTATCGCGAATTCCATTGCCGTCACCCTTTTACCGGTTGGGATGGATGACACTCCCAAGAGTCTCAGCCAGCTTCCTGCATCTACGATGCATCAGCGCCCGCATGGGATACTTGGAAATTCCCACAAAATAGATGTCCCTCTCCATTTGAGGTCTGTAAAGTTCACGTGAATTTCAACTGTGCACCCTTCCTGCTCATACACCCTCATCTGCCCTTCAAGCATGATAAATTCATGATTGTGTGGGTCATCTTTCTCCAAAACCGTCCGCGTTGCCTCAATAAAATTTAGCCCGATTCTCTCATGGAATTCTTTACTGAAAATCTATGTTGATTCCATCCCTCCACACCCGCACAACTCTGTCCCAATCTCGTCTTCTAATTCCATCGCCCTTTTTCATGCATGCATTCAGCCCTGGCCTTGCTAATTAAAGCGCAGCATTCGATTTTGAGAAGTCTGTCCAAAATCGTCGGAATTTCCCGGAATTTCTTCGCTTGAGCCCGGTTAATAATTGATTCGCTTTAGCCCTAGACTGCAGCATTTGCATAGTTACCACTCTCCATGAGATTTTTGACTATATTTCAGCAAAAATAACTGAGTGTAAACATTGGCGTTTTAGAAGGCTCAGCATCCATAGTGACTAGAAAGTAGGTTTTTTCCAGCGCGTATTGATTACCGTTAAAAAACCTTTTTCTGAGTAATCATTTCTGCTGTTAACTGTGCCATTTGTGACTGATGTACTTCGTTGTCCTTTGGATCGATCCCCCTATAAAAAGCAGAGGTCAAAAAAATCTATTCGTTCCCATGGAGTCCGCAGGTTATTAAAGTACGCGTTTCATGACATTTACACAGTCATTCTGTAAGAGTAAAATTCTACCATTTTGGATGATCTATACTCAATTGGAATTCCTAGTATGTATAGTTAAGTTAAGTACAGTTAAGTTTAGCAGTTTAAGTTTAGCCGTTTAGCCAAGCGCAAATTTTGATTTGTTTGACTTTAACCTTGGCATTATTTTGATAGAAAATGTGTTACTTGTTTGATACATCTTGAAGGCAAGAGTTTTGCAGCAGCACTTTTTATTGATGGCATGCAATGAAAACATCACGGAATCACTTTACAAACCATCAACCATTCTGGAACCGGTTTTCTTAAGGAACTGCGTTGTAACCAGAGCAATAATTGTACTTTTGAACTACCGTGACCGTACCCAAAATATTTGCGTGAACGCGGACTGTAAACTGAAGAAAGGTAGCGATCGGCTTGGCTACCTGAGCTGAAGAACACACTGGAACGCTCCAATCCGTAACTTTCATTTTTATCAGTGAGTTCCGAAAATAAGGGTCCGAAGTTCATGATCAGAAGAAACGTCCCGCCATTACCTAGTAAATATGCCTCCTTGCACAAGTAATCCGGTCCGCAATTTTGGAGGGTCGTCAGATAGTCATGGCTCAGCGATCCTTGACAAACGCTGTGGCCGTCATTACTGAAGGAACACAATACGCCAAAGTTGTCCCGCCCATCTGAGGGAGAGATATACCAGCGGTCCAATGTCTACAAATACAGTAGGGCGCTATATGGCTTGGGAGGGGCGTTACGCACGTTCGCTGAATGTTTTCCTAGTGCATGTTCACTAACAAGTCCCATTTTGCTGACACCCTTGAACCCTTAAAGGCTGGGAAATGTGGCACAAAAGAGCCAATTTAGTTAGAAGGATTCCCATGTCTTTGCAGTGTGATCAATACAGGCTGTACAAGTTCTACGAGTTCTATTTGCCACCGAACCCCCCCCCCATGTTAACCATGCAAGCTGCACCCACTATTGTAAGTCGTTCCGTTGTTTTAATGTAGAACCTATCCTTGCCTCTCGTTCGTCTTCCAGCTTATCATCCCGCTTCCAGCTCTCACCCCTTGTCTCTGGTATCTCTCCATAGCAACAGTCTCTCACTTCTGCGAATGCTCGTCCTAATCTGATATCTTACTTAGGGCGTCTTCAACAATTCTGACCGGTGTTTTTTTTTCTACTTGTAATTCAACCAGATAGCAGATTTGAGCCTGCACTTCCTACCTTCACTCGGCTCTCACTTACCTCAGGCTGACTTTCATCAAGAGTTCACAATTGGACCTCGTAGCCTATGATTCGCCATCATGAATTGTGTCTTTATAAAGGGATTCTCATGAGGGGAATCCTTGATCGCTCAGCAAGGTGGTGACAAGTATGCGGTTAGGTTCATTTACATCTGCACTACATATCCCGGAGATGGAGTGGGCGTGGCTGCGCACTTTACTTGATCGTGGCAGCGCTGCCCATCTAGTGGGATATTGTCCTCTTAAGACAGCTGACAGTGAGACCATATCTTTCTTCTTCACAAGACATGATAACAGATGTGCCACGTAGAATCGTCCCACAAAGCGATAAGCCATATTACAGTGAATACGTAGCCACGCCCTCTCCATCTGCGATATTGAGTGTAGGAGATGGAGCAGTCCTCACCATTTTATATTTGCGCTATCACTAATTTTTTGGCGGAAGAAAACGGATGCTCACTAAAATGCCTATTATATGCGAATGACGATCTTCGCTTTCCTATGCTCAGCAGGCCCGAAAGCTAGGTGAGGCACCAAGCGCTATTTGATTGGACACGTTCAAATAAAATGCTAAGCGTAATTGGCAACTCGACGGTGAAGCCGAATGCACTTCCAGAACGCTCTTCGTTCTTGCTGGTGCGTCTAATAAACTCTGGACTCAGCAATAATCCCTTTTAAACTCAGAGCTCACCGCTTCTTCCCTAGAAACCCTGCTCCCATTGACTGATGAGTTCAGCCTCAGACACGATTATTTGCTCCACAGCTGAAAACTTGTCGAATGTCCTTTCCAGTTTGGTCACTGACACTCTGCATTATTAGATAGGACAGTTCTCTATCACTGATTTTTGAGCCCTTGAAACCATCTGATACTGTCAAATTATTAAAGTATTCGGATCCCTCTTTGAGGCGCCATGAATTCTCCATCCGTTTAGAATCGCAGCGGCACCCTAAAATTGATCAGTCCTTCACTTTCACCTGCAATACCAGTTGGGACAAGTCAGTGTTTTTTCCACCTCAGATGAAGCTGGTGCTGACCAGCGGAGGATGAAGTGGTGGGCTTGACGAAGCCAGAGCCCATCCGGGTTTTGAGCGTTGAACCGTGCTCCCTAGCGCTTTCCACTACACATGCGCCCATCTGAGATGGCTATACGTGTGGGTAATTTGTGCTTGTTGAACAATCAGTTGAACCCTACGACCCTTTCCCCTTCCTTTCCCGCCTCCTCCCTCCCCGAAAGCGGGACGACTCTGCCAAGCGGGATGAGAGGGCTAGTAGTTCAACTCCCAAAAACAGTAGGACTGCAACATCACGTACTAGGGTGGTGAAGAGGAGAGTGTATAGTTCTTTTCCCAGATATGGGGAGGGCGTGTCTAAGAGCTATCTGTGTGTGTGGCGACGCTAGGCAGTTTCTGGTGGAGCGCAAGAGGGCGCGGACGGCAAAAGAGGATCACACCTCTCATCTACCTCTACCTGAATCCCAGCCCACAGATACGCAGCCGTTGCCATGCTCACATTAAAGTATGCAACGAGCTCTCCCCCGTCCCAGAGAGCATCGTCCTTGTCGCAGGACGAAAAGGGGGTCTCACGTACAGTGCGTAGTACCTCGCCGACTCTCCTCTCTTAGGATGTGTTCACACAGTTTTGTTCCGTGGGGTTTGACGGCACGCCCCTGTTCCACCGATTCCTGTTCCGCCGATTGTGGTCGCTCGCCAACTTCCAGAATTGGTGGAGAACGGTTTGGCATTGCACCACACCCAGCCTCTTGACACGCCCCAGCATCCGCAGCGACCTGGCAGAATTGACGCTCTGAGAGATTTCGGGTCAAAGGGTAGATGAGAATTGATTGCGGCAGGTCGCTAGTTTTCGAGAGAATAGGAGATACCCAGGGCCCCAGACTGCGTGATGGGGCGTCATAAAATAGCAACGTCTGCAAAACGGTTGCAAAACAGCAACGTTAGCATTCACTCATACATGCGTCTCTACCTCTTTTCCGGGGGTATGTGGCAAGAGAATCGTAATTCGCCGCGCCAATGGGCGTCGCGTGCGACGTCGCGCCAGCTAATGACGACGATTTCAGGTGGTATTGGTCGAGAACAGACAGTATGACCAAAAATAGGCATAAATGTCTACCGTGTCCTGGTTGAGAATAGACAATGTATGACCAAAAATACATGAACGTCTACCATGTCCTTGTCTACATGAAATCGATGCTCCAATCAAAAGGGTAATGCAAAGTAAGGGAACGTCACGCCCATCGCCTAGCGCGGCCAGGCGGCACTGTACGATTCTCTCGCCCTTTTCCCCTTTTTCGGTCGGGCCCCCGCTGCTCTCGAAGCCACGCCTCTTGTTGCTGTGCGATATGAACTGTATACAGCGCGTCTAAGACGGGAAGACATCAACTGTCAAAAGAAACAAATGAGGAAAATATCCAAAAAAAAAACCAATAACGATCTTCTTCCGGAGCTGCTGAAACAGGTCACACTTTGCTGGGGATTCCCCAATAAGGGGGGAGGAGGGGGGCGTACTCATGAAACTTGATTTTTCTTGTTTCAGGGACGTTGTAGAGGGGGTTGGTCGTATTTGCTTGTTGTTGGCATGGCGTGGTCGTATTGCCCTCGCGGTCTTTTGCTCAACAGCTCGGTGACGAGGGAACCAGGAGAGGGCCCGCACCAACCCCCTAAAAACGGAAGGGAGCCGTATGGACTCGACCGAAACCCCGACAAATATGTCCCCTCCGACGGTGGAAGCTTGGCCTCTGAAGAAGACGACCAAGTCGAATCGTTGTGCTGATAACGACTCTCGTCGTTGATTCCACAACGATAATGTAGGCCTGCCTCAGGAAATAAGAAAAAGGGAAAGTGTTGGTAATTTGCCAAGTTCTATCTTGTTGTAACCACGGCATCATTGTGTATTCTGCTTATACTGCTGTGCCTCTCGAAGTTTTCAGGAAAAAATTGACTACTACTTTTAATACTGATTACTGACCGCATGTGACTGCGGATCCACGGTGGAAGCTTGGCCTCTGAAGAAGACGACCAAGTCGAAACGTTAGGCTGTACAATAAAAATTTCCACCTAACCTCGAGAGGCACAGCAGCATAAACAGTGTTATTAGATCTTAATGATCGGCTCCGGTAGATCAAACCACTCGAACCGGTTATCGTACAATACGGGCAACCTGTCCGTTGCACTGGCCCGTGAAGTTCACATGAAAATTGCTTGCATTATTTCAAAGAAAATCGAATCTTTTGAACATAGGCCTTGAAAGCTGCTATTCCTCGAAAGCTAAGATGTCGATTTTCGTTTCATTAAGCGATATAGATAGATATATCACAGGAGGAACCCGTCGACCGCCTATGTATGTGTGCGGGTGTGGGTGTACACGGCCTTGTCGATTCTCTCACACACACCACTGTTCCCCTTTTCCGTTTCATCCCAACCGACGGTCGGTCTTCTCAACCGCTCATCGCGCAGTCGTGTTTTGGTCTTCGCCCATCACAATGCCATATAAGAGAACTGATTCGTCCAATTATCGTTCCATCTTATTGCACTTAATATCATCTGATGCGTTCGTCAATCATCTTCACAGTTCATTCAGTGCCCATTACTATCGCCTCTGCACTATCTGACCACCACCATTTACCATTCCATTATATATTTCTTATTCTGTACAGTTGCTAGTCATTCGTGCTTGCTAAATTTTCTTTTCATTTTTTGGTTCAAAAATTTTCTATTTTTCTTGTATAGATGGCGTCCGCTAGTGCACCGCTCAAGGAAGTTGCAAAAGCTACAAAGCGGATCCTGATGTGCCGCCCTACCTACTTCCAGGTCTGCTACAACTCATAAATCCCAACCACCCACAGACGTATTGATTGATTCTGCACTAGTGTTGATCTCCGACTAAAGTTCAGGTGTCCTACTCGATCAATCCATGGATGGATATGCGACGTGGGGTGAATCGGCCTAAAGCCATGGAACAATGGGAGAAACTTAAGACGACGTTAGAAGGATGTGGAGCACGAGTTGATGTCATGGAAGCTGATGTGAGCCTTCGTTTGCGTTTTTGATGTCTAAATTGCAATATTGAACGCGCTTGCACGGAGCAATGTGAGCCCGAAAGGCTTTTCCGAGCTTTTTTTCTGGTAGCAATCGTTTGGCAGCCGCTGGCTGACCTCATGCAATAGAGGGAAGATGACAAACTCACAAAAGAATTGTGCATCAATAAAAGCCCGTATATTTAGGTTTTCTGCTAAGTAAATAGTATAAAGTCAAAACTGCAAATTAAGCGGTCCCACTGCACTCCTCAAGCCAATAATTTGGACTTCTCATTACAACGGGAAAAACAATTATTTTGGGGATAAGAGGTCCGGCACATTTTTGATGTTAAAGGCAAAAGGCACGATAAAACGACAGCACCTAAGAATATTGGGCCCCTTAGTAGGTGCTGCGTAGCGCCCTTTCCAACCAAGTACACCGTTATAGCGCCTAATCAAGGTGCAGCATGCCGACCCAGACGCCCACCGCAACCGCCCGCCCACAAATGGCCGAACAGTCAGATCAACGCTGATAATGCTGCGCTTATTTGTGAAGTGCAATCGATACAAATTTTGCTGCTTATTTACATGCATATAGTGCAGCCGTACCTATCAAAGCGGTTGTTGGCACTATAACAATGGGAAACTCGTCCAAAAATGCTCGTCCAATGCCGTGCAGAACAAAGGCGTTTTTCGCAGGTTCTTGGCCGTTTGACTTCGCTTTTTCGCTATTTTCCTTATTCGAGCAGACATTGTGGTAGCGCACCTTTCATAGGAACAGGTATGAATGAGCCTTGGTAAGCAAAAGTCTCCATGTCCATCTTTGTGAAAATTCAACCAAAAGTGCTTTTCACATAATTAACTGCATTTGTGCCGACATGTCGTCCTTATGGGAACTCTACTTGAACTCGACGTTTCTTCGACACACATTCTAATCCACTTTACAGAACGTGACATTACCTTCGTTTGTCGAAGTAGTTCAAATACTAGTCAATGAATGCAATTGTATACGCATAGCAGCATTTATTGGCAGTCTTGATCGATAACTGCGACTTACGCATATCGATTTCGCGCGTTTCGCAACCGCGCGCCTATTTGCAAGTTGAGCCAGGGCTCACCATTGTATGAAACACAACGGGGAACACATTTTGACGTGAGAAAGTTTATTCTAGTTGTTGGTTTTTCCCGTTTCGTCGGCGCTGCATATCCCTCCCCCTCCCTGCAAAAGGCCTGTATATTTCGGGAAACGTTGGGAATGGTGGATAGAAAAGGTCAGGATAACTTTTCCTTCAAATTGCACTCCCTCGTCGTTTTTCAAAAAGTGAAGTGGATTTGTCACTGGAGGGGAAGCGGCACGCGTTAGCGCTGCACGACTTGTCCCGCTCGTCTGTGCCCTCTCACTGAGATAGTAGTCGCTCTCCCTAATGTAAGGCTCAGCCTTAGAAATTATGCAAACAATCAGAGAGGACGCAGCCTAGTTTCGCAGCGTGCCCGCCTAACTCGAGTATGTAGTCCCACTTTCCTTAAGAAAGTGAATCTCAACTTGTATAGCATTTTTGCAGTTGTTTAGCTCGTGAGTTTACTATTTATACCTGGAAAGATTTGATTGAGCAGTTCAAAGGTGAACAAGAAAAGACGCTAAAACTTCATCTAGTAGAGCTCAGTTTACTCAGAGTTGTTGATAACACCTCTTGAAGTTTCCAATAAATTTCGTTACAAGCAGTTCAAGCGGTATGAAGTACTAGATTCTATGTACAGTTTTTATATTTGCCTGATTCACCTGGGTTTCTCACCGCTGCTGCGGCATTTATGGCCCTTACAGAAGCTTCGCATCTTGAAGGAAAAACTAAGTACTGTTCACAAGAACGCAAACAGCCTACTAGCGTACAACATCGTCGAGCGATGCCGATCAAAGGGGGTTTGGGAACGCACTTGGGAACGGAGTATTTCTGACTGATGGTTCCAGGGCGGTAAAACAGCTAATCCTCGGTCAAATGGTGTCTACTCCTCCCCCTCTCCGCCCCTCGTTCGACGGCAGGTTTCTGGAAAAAAATTGGGAAGTTGTTGCGGCGGAAACTCGTACGGGATAAAACCTTCTGAGTCATATCTGAGTGGCCGTCTCAACTCGCCAGGGTAACAGCTATTGTGAGGGTATGATACATGGTGGTGTCAGTAGGCGACTTCACTCCCTCCTCGAGGGATAGGAGTGCTCGATAACGATCCCCTCTCCTTCCAACGCCCTATCTTACTACTTTTCTCACAACTTCAACCAAGAGTCTTAAAACCACTTTTCCGAAGATTTCCCAATTTCAGTTTCTCACCAAAAAATATTAGGTTGTCCGAAAGTTCTTAGCGTTTCGGTGTAAAATGTAACTTTAAACTCGAATCGGATGAATCTCTTAAACACTCATCGGCATTTCATCCGAAAATACACACCAAGTTACGAATCAGCACACTTTTGCCAATGGTGACAGCAGTCGAGAAATCCCATCAAAGAAAAAACTGGGTGGTCGAGAATCCACGAAATCTGCGAAGGTCTTTTTTGCCTGGTCCTGTTTGATGAAGTATTTCTCAGCAGGAAAGTTCTGAAAATGTCTGAGTGAGCAGTCGTTGTGCCAAAGAGTTACGCCTCCGCCTAGAAGAGAATATGGTGGGTGAGGTAGAACTTCAACTCCCAATTCGTTCAATTTATGGATAGTGATTTGTGAAACGTGTGGGCGGGCGTTGTCATGCAAAAGAATCGGACTTTCTTTTGATAAGTGTTGGCTGCAGCTGACAATATTTTCGGTACATTTGGTCGGTTTGTTCACAGTAGGGTTCTGCTGTGATGGTTTGGCCTGGTGATGAAAAGTTATAGTGGATTACAACAGCCGATGACCACCAAACCTGACCAGAATTTTTTTTTCGCGAGGGTTCGGCTTTGAAAATTACCTCTGGTGATGTTTTTCACGCTCAAAAATTCCAACCACTGTTCCGGAACGGTCTCCGTTATCACACATGTATCCATTGTTTTCATCCACAGGTGCCCCACAAATCCGTTCAAAACGGGTCACTTCTTTTTGCGGCGGCAAATAGCAGTGAACCGAAGGAACTCGAGCCGTCCGACACTCCCTGCCGGTCACTCAAGCGATTGGGGTCGACGCCCAACTAGTCCGAGTTTTTCACCCTTCCCCAAATGCGAGTACCCCAGAACCATCTGCCACAGTGGATTTGCCAAGGCCTAGCTCTTTCTGTGCTCACATCTCGAACTTGAAGTTTGGATGGTCAAACACTTAGCCAAAATCCCCCCTAAAATCCTCGTCAGATATTGCTTTAGGTCGACCGCTATGAGGCTCACCTTCAAGGCTGAAATTTCCAGAACGACATTTGTTGAGCCATTGCGGCACAGTGCTTTCTCTAGCACTATTGGGCCTCCACACCTGGTTAATTTGTTGAGCTGTTTCGATTGCGGATTGCCCCAATTTATAGCCGAAGAAAAAAATCGTCCGAAGTGCTCTTTTCACATGCTTGAAAAAATCTTGAAAAAAGAGGGTTTATCAAGCAATGGTGAAACGGCAATTATACCATCAGATAGCGCAAGAAATTCTCTACAGGATGTGCTACTGAGAAGCAAGGCAGAATGAGTTTTTAATCAGCAGTGAATGTACAAAAATAGGTGCACAAAACGCTGAGAACTTTCCGGACAACCTAATATTTTGAGCGCGGACAACGGGGAGGGGCTGCGTGATAGTACCAGTAAACGCCGGAATCGGCGAAAGTCAACAACGGGAAGAATTTTTTCCCAACGCAGCAAATTTCTCTCAACGGCATATCCGACCCCTCCCCCCCCACCTCTTTACACTTACCTACCATTTAAACAAAGGTCGCCAAGAGTCCTACAGTTCTTCCAATTTCCACATCTTCTGATTTCACCCAGGAGAATAAAATCTTACCGTCGACGGTTAGAGACAGGAGAGGGGAGGGTATATAGCCCCAGTGAAACTGAAACCGACGTTAAGTCCACAATCGGGAAAAAATTTCCCCAACACACAGTTCTCCGAAAAAGTACATACCGCTCCCCCTCCCCAGCGGCCAAAGGTTAAAACGGGACCTCCCATGTGTTCCAACAGCGATTCTGTAACCTGCTCACCCGTCCGATTGTGATGCCTAATTCGGCAATAGCCTTCCTCATTATACGTATTTTGGCATTACACGAAACGAAAAGCAGTGTAGCCTCCGCCCTGAGATTGGTGTCACTTTCCTTAGCTAGAGAGTCAAGATCCGGTTCGGCTCCAGCCTTGGTCAACTAGGGATACCTTCCAGTGTGCCAGGGAATTTGTGCCAAACACGTCTGGGAGCATGGAAGCGCCTCTAAGGAGAGCGGAGTGCACGGCGCACTCCAAGAGTTATCGATCAGTCTCAAAACTTTGCTCTTCATAGGAATTACTTTGCAACTCGATCGATAGGTTCTTGACCACGTAAGGATTTTGAGTGCTTTCACAATGTTTGGCATTCTGCACATGTTTTGCGCAGTTCATTCTTGAACACTGCGCGAACGGTGTAATACGGAAGTTTAAATTGTCACCCAACAAGTCATTCACTGATCACGTGACAAGCGTCTGACAAGGTAATCGAGTCTGAATATGGCAAACTACCAAACTTTACAGGGTTTACAGTACGATTTGGGGCCAGGACAAAAGGGTTTTTGACATGTGGTGCGCAGAGCTCATGAAATGAATGAACATGGCCTTTTGTGATGAATGGATGTATCAATGGCGACGAGGCACGTCGTACACAGGGAATCGCCAGCAAGGAGGGGGGGGGTCGTATTTGCTTTCGTGGAGGCTTTCCGATTGTGGTGACTTTTCCAGGTTTTTCCTGTTTCACGTGCCCCATATAGCTGCTCCTGCCCCATCGACGGCAGTTTTTGGTAGCAACTGAAGAACTTTGGAAAAAACTCAGGAAAGTGGTAGGAAGTTGGAAGAATGAAGGGGCATAGCATCAGAGACAGGAAAAGAGGAATGTGTTCCTTCTGGAAGAGGAGATTCTGGGGG